TCTATCGGGTCTCTAAAGCTTTCTGCATTCATGAAAGCATTTCTTGAAACTGAAAATACTCACCTTAAATATGATCTGAGTTATTGAAGGAGATAGACGTTTAACTGTCATGGCTATTCGTAGCATCTAAATATGAGCACATCATCTTCTGCCATCATTCAAAATCAGGCCATTGAAACTCATTAAGTTCATCATAATCTGTTTCTGGCTTGCCTCCAGGTAAATGGAACAATAAACTGACATTTTCCTAACTGCCTTAGAGGAGATTAACTTACATAAGACAAAAGAAAAGAACCAACTGACTTCAATAGCAACTAAGCATCTTGCTTGCATTTACTCTGATTTTGCCATCTTATTAACATAAGTATTAAGTAGTCAAAGTCGTAACCATTGCTCATATAAGATCAATCCGGAAAAACTTTCAATATTTTTTCTCTACAAAATTTAGTGACTGGTACATTCCAAATGATTTGTTTGAGCTTTCATGATATGTAAATTAGCTTCAGGTTTTACTAAAGCTCTTTACAGTGATAAGCAACCCTCATAGCTAACCAATGATATATAACATCAGTTGCTATTAAATAACCTTCTTATGGGGTCAAAGTAAAGAACAGAATAGACTCCTAGACCAGCTAAACATGAAGACACCCAATTGGCTGATTCCCAAAGAGAAGGAAATCATTCCACTGGCCCACTGGTTCCTTGCTGGCGATAGTGTGAATTTTTTTTTATTTCATGCAACAAAACCAAAGCAAAATGGAGCTCCAGCTGAGTAAGTAAGTCAATGTCCAATATCTAGGATCCACTCACAATCTCCTGGGCAACTTGGGGAGGGAGGAGTTTGTTTGGATTATACTTCTATATTGTAGTCCATCATTGAAGAAATTCAGGGGAAAAAAAAAAACCTCCAACAGGGCAGGAACCCAGAGAAAGGAGTTGCTGTAGAGACCAGAGAGGAATACTGCTTACTAGTTTATTCTTCATGGGTTACTTAGCCTGCTTTGTTGTACAACCCAGGACCGATAGCTCAGGGGTGACCCCACCCACAATGTGCTGAGCTCTCCTCTATTAATAACTAAATAAGAAAATTCCCTGCAGGCTTCCTTACAGCCTGGCTTTCCTACAGAGACATTTTCTCATTTAAAGGTCCCTTCTCCCTAGTGATTCTAGCTTGTGTTAACTTGGCTTAAAACTAGCCAGCACAATATCACTTTTCACAGATCAGCTAGTAAAACTCTGCCCCTCTAAATTTTTCAACTTACAAAAAGAAGTTGAAATGATATGTCTTGCCCAGAGAAGAAATTACCCAAATGATGGCCTTCCTTGGAGACACATTAATTGACATTCAAGTTCCAGCTGTTGTAATGGCAAAATTTTGTAGAAACTTATTTTTCCGTCATTTGGAATTAAACAAACCCAAAGACTGTTTGAAAGTTCCAAACTATTAGGGAACCCAGATAGTTTCTGTATCGTTGTCGTCTGTTGTCTTTAATGCAAAGCTCCCATCTTTGGGCTAGATGGCTGCCCAAGTTCTTGCCACCATGTTCCTCCTACATTTATAAGGAAAGGGTTTGGTCAGTGGGTTATATGTCTCTGCCTTCTGTGAGCACACTTGAGGAGTACACATTTCTTACCTCATTCCTTTAAACAGAATTTAGCAGATAGCGCTCTCAACTGCCAGGTGTCATTTCTCTTCTATTAAAACTACCTCAGTGGGAGAATGGTAGGCAGTGTCTCTGCCACATTCTTTCATCCAGCAAGTTTACTCAATTCCTTGCAAATTCCTATCACTCTTAGCAAATAGCTGGCCTCAAAAGCTTACTCTACACTGATCTCTTGAAGTTCTCTGCAATATCCAATGACCGGACTTTCTTGAAAGTCTTCCTTTCCATCCCTCGCCACTTCCATTTCTTCTTCTTAATAGTAGTATTGTCTGGACTAACTCCCCATACGTTCATACCTTTTCTTAGGTATGAACTAAGAGATGGTATGAAACATGTGACTGTTTCCCTAAGGCCTACCATCCAAATCTTTCGTTTCCTCCCTGTTATTCTCTTCTTTTAGCAAAGCTATCAACTTCTTTTTCTCTTTCTGTGATCTCTCATCATTTGTCTTAGATTCTCTCCAATTTCTCTACTCTACATTCCCCAGTGTGTGCTAGATTTTTCCACCTGGACATTTTGTTAAAGGCTCATATGTCGCAAACCAGATTGTAGTCAGTGTCCTGGATCTTTTACCTTTCTCCTACTTGGGTCGCTAAAAGCCCCTAAATGATGTTTTCAGAATTTCCTTGTTTCTGACTTGTTCTCCCCAACCTCATCTCTCAGACAACCAACATATCATGTGTTTTAGTTGTAGCCATTTCTGTCCCAAGACCCTCCTCCATCATTCCTAAACCAACTGCACTGATTCTTATTCTACATTCCATCCTTTCTAGGTCTAGATCACAGCAAAAGGCTCTACTACTTTCTCATTCTATTTCAGACCTTCAGAGTGTGCTAACATGAGAACACTCATGTTAAAGCAGAACTTCAAGGAAAGATTTGGAAAAGCACAGAGATATCCAGGCCAATTAGGATTTGGTGCTCAGAGGAAGAATTTTGGCTTTTTAGTTTCTTCCATTTTCCAGATGCCTTATCATATACATCATCCAACAAAATGAGCCACCAGGCCAATTGAACACCTGGATACAGTAAACATGATGCCAACTACTTACTCTTATTCTAATCTCATAATCAAAAAAAGGTATATACTCTTCTTTGTTTTTTTGTTTTTTTTTTTATTTGCCATCATTTTAATCAAATTGTTTCCATATATGTTTTGTATTTTTCCATCAAATTTTCACTATTTATTTCAATTTTTTTAAATAATTTATTTATTTTTTCTCAAATCATAATTCGTTCACACAGGGGTTATAAACACAGAAAGGCAGGATGTGGGGAAGGGGATGACACTGGAGTGTGAGTGTTCAGGGGGAATACAGATATCTTTCAGAACCAGGTATCGGCTGGGTGAAGGTTCTGGGGACAAGTCACTATGACTCTGCCTATGACTCACTTGTCATATATATTCTTCTTTTAGTAATTAAACTATTGAAATGAAGAGACTGGGCCTTTACAAAATTACTTTATTCTAGGACTTAAAAGATGAATCAGCAGCCAAGAATGTGCACTGCTCTTGCAGACGAACCAAGTTCAGATCTCAGCGTCTACTTCAGGTAACTAACAACTGCCTGTAACTCTAGTTCCAGGGAATCCAGCAGCTTCCTGTCCTTAACTTTTTTTTGTATATGCACACACACACACACACACACACACACACACGCACACAAACATTTAAAACCAATGTAAATCTTTAAAATAATTTGCTCAAAGTCTAAAACTGTTTAATAGTAGAATGAAGATTCAAGCCAAGTACTTCCTAGGACGCCCTCTCATCAGCATTAATGTCAAAGAAATCAAAAGTCACTGATACTATCACCATTTTACAAACCAAGCAAAGAATTAGCCTTTCATGATCAGAGCCACATGGGCTAAAGCCCATGTTTTTCTTCTACTTTACATAGCTTTCTATTTATATCTATACCCAAAAGCCACCCTCAGTCCCCATGAGATTCTGATACATTTAGAAATGATCAAGAGAGCCGGGCGGTGGTGGCACACACCTTTAATCCCAGCACTTGGGAGGCAGAGGCAGGCAGATTTCTGAGTTCGAGGCCAGCCTGGTCTACAGAGTGAGTTCCAGGACAGCCAGGGCCACACAGAGAAACCCTGTCTTGAAAAAACAAAAATAAATAAATAAATAAATAAATAAATAAATAAAATGATCAAGAGGAACTAATAAAAGAGGGACTGGGCATCAAACAGGCCAAGATACACTCACCTTTATGTGTATGTCTCAGTGTTTTTCTTTAAGTATTTACGGAATATTAGCTAAAACTCTGGGCATCCTCTAAAAAGACAAGAGGTATTCACAGGCTATGCTTGATACCCCAGCATTAGGCTAAAAGGAGGGAAGGACCTTCAAGCGAGGCATGGATTGGATCATCCTTCATGCAAGGTGTTTATCAACAACCTGGCAATATAGGGCAGAGCCTCAAGGAAAACGTCAGGCCAGCCAGCAAAGCAAGGCATGTTCTTTTAAGGTCCCTTGTGAGCAAGTAGGGAAAAGGTGTGCCACGAGGAAGCGGGTACCAGATCAGCTGACATAATCAGATCAGGTTAACAGACACTATATTCATATAGTTTAGGCTGGAGCAAGTGGTTTAGAAAGTCTCATGTTCATTTCAGCGTAAGAAGTACCTGGGAACTTCTTCAGAACCATGGGCCTATTTAATATGTAGCTTCATCAGGCAGAGTGTTCTTGTCCTAAGTGAACCTGGCCTAGTAAGCCTGGAAAGCATCTTTCCAGGAGGTACAGGTCCCATGCTTATGTAATATGATACTTATCAGGTGCAAAACTTAACAAAGAAATCACAAAGTTAGATGATTTTGGCTTCTGCCTTTAATCCCACCATTTGGAGGCAGAGGCAGGCAGATCTCTGAGCTTGACGCCAGCTTGATCCACAGAACAAGCTTCAGGATAGCCTGGGATACACAGAGAAACCCTGTCGAAAGAAAGAAAGAAAGAAAGAAAGAAAGAAAGAAAGAAAGAAAGAAAGAAAGAAGAGAGAAAGAA